CTTCTTGGTGGTGTGTAGCAAACACACACCATGTGTTTTGATTTGGACCCTCACAGTGCCTTATGGCAGATGCCTGGCCTGGAAGTGACCACTTTAAGTATAAAAAATATACACGGAACTAGAGGAAAGTTGTATGTTTCATCGTTGCTGCATTGCACCCTGACTGGCTCGTCTCCTCCCCGAGACCCTTCTGTAAGGGGGATGGCCAGTGGCCTACACATGGGCTTTGGGTCTCTACTCCGCACTGCCCCCCTCATTCACTAAGATTTTCTGTTCTGATGATGCTTGATACCTGATCCCTTCGACACCTCGTGATCGCACAGACTGGTGTGCTTCTTCCATGTGGGCTTTGTTGCTTCTGAGCTAGATGGCCGCTTGTTTACCTCAATGTTAGTTTATGAGATAGGGGAGGAATGGAGAGAAAAATAAATATATGATTCTGTTTCATTAAAGTAGTTCTCTCTCCTCCCTTCCATACTTTTGAAGTGGCCAATGTGGCACTTTATACATACAATAATTAGTTGCCATCAATCCATGGCAATTGTATGCATGTCAGAGTAGAGCTATGTACCATTGGGCTTTTGGTGGCAGATTTTTTTTTTTTTTGGCTGTGGATCACCAAGTCTTTCTGGGCATCTTTGGAGAGACTAAGGAGTGTAGTGGTTACTCATTGGGCTACTAACTGCAAGGTCGGTAGTTCAAAACCACTAGCCACTCCAAGTAAGGCACTCACTTAAAGAGTCTATAGACAAATCTATAGAGACAGTAACTGAATTAATGGTCCTTTGGGGTGTAACAGGAAGTTTCTTGTTAATGGGAATCTAATAATGAGCACAAGAACGAAGAAAATGTTCACAAATGGATTATGGTGATGATTGGATTGTACAGCTCTTCTTGGTATAATTGAACTATTCAGTTATATAGTTTTTGACTTACATGCCAATAAAACTCGTTTGTTGTTGTTGTTTTCTTTTTCCAAAGAGTCACAGGAACTGTTCCATTTTACCCTATAGGCTGCATTGAGTCGGCACCCTCTCAGTGGCAGAGTTTGGCATTGGGTTTGGATGGACTAGAACAGGGGTTGGCAAACAGGCTCTCGAGCCATATGTTCTTTCGGTATACATTTTGCTCTGAAGTAAAAGTGGAAATGAAAATAAAAGTATCATAGTTTCATTTATAATATTACTTTAAATGTTC